TGTAAAGAAACATCTGCTACCTTTATTTTTTTTTTTCTGCTGTGACTTCAGGAAAAGATTTCAGAGTCGACTTGAGATTTTGCACTGGAAACACATGGAACAGTAATTTCATGCTCAGATAACGTGACAATTTAAGCTAAAAACTAATTAACCCTTTCAATGCTGATGTTTTGCTTTTGGGTAATCAGTGTAGACATAACTCTTCATATGATGTCTTCTACTGCTTAGAAATTGTATTTCTTGGGCTCACAGCCCAAGACTTTCTATTGACTTTCTCTACACAAGTTCCTGAATTGGACAGTGGCCTACAACAGCATTTCAAAAAATATTACACCCTTGTAGAAACTATTACGTGGTTTATCCCAAAATCCTCATAATAGTGGTGCGCGTATGAATGTGATGCTTAAAGCATTTGAGAAGACTGATTAAGTGTAGAAGGCAAATTGTCTCAAGGTAAATAAGTAGGTATTCAACCCATTATGACAGCACTGAAACAATTCTGGGTATGAATAGGGAAATAAAGCACCTCTTCTAATATTAAGCAAAGGAAAAAGTTTCACTCCTTCCTAAATTACTCTAAATAATTTGAAATACTTAAATTGTAACATTTTTGAGACTCTTAGGTTGAAGATTATAGTTCCTACTGATAATACATCTTACATTAGTGTACATCTGCTCTCTTGCAACCTTCTGCGAAGTCAGCTTTCTTGCTGATAAAGCAAAGAAATGAAACTGAGAATCACTGTGGGGTTTTTTTTTCCTGTGAATGTGTATTTTGACTATTCTTCCCAAAAGAAAAGCCTTGTTTTGATTAAATTATGACACTTCCAAATTCTGGATAATTATATGAATCAAATTCTAGTGTTCTTGACTGGCTTTAGTGAGATGTGGTTGTTGGAGAAATTATCTGGAAGTTGGACTAATTTTAACATCTTCCTATTGAGAGAGATTGAGTGATAACACTTCAAGCAAATTCATAGCTCTGAAGACAGTTATTTCTTTGAAATAAACAATTTACACACATTTAACAAAACATTTATAGCTTTTTCCCAGATTTGCCTCTAGAAAGAGACTGATTTAGAGGGCCAAACAGAAGAATTTTGGTTTCTGGAAGGCAGATCTTAGTGGTAAGCCACACATCTGTGAAATTTGCTGATATTCCTGTGGTTACCACTCACAAGGATGTGTGGGGTCTTCCCTTAAAACAGCTAAATCATGTTGAGTCTTAGTTTTGCTTGTTATAAACACAGCTGGTCTTTTCTCCAGAGAAAATATACAGGTTGCCTGTAAAACATACAACTCCTTGAGCAATTTTGAGGAATGATGTAAAATCCTTAGCGGGAGAATCCAAGTATCTTGCATAAAGGTAGAGACTGTGAGAGCGTGCAGAACAAATGTGAAGCTGAGCATGTGCGTAGCTGCTACTGAAATTCAGCTTTGGATATGGGGCTTTTCGCCAGAATATGTTGAACTTCCTGTGAAGAAGTAAAACATAAGTTGCTTTAAGAGCAATTGTGCTGCTGCTAAGCTGCTTAAACATAAATCACAATGCTACTGTGAGCTATGTAGAGTTTTAAAATTCTACCGCGTGTAGTAGGTGTATCACTTCAACTGAGTATTTCAGAATCAGGACAGCAAGAAGGACTCTTATTAATGTGAATGTCTGTGATATTTTTCTCCTCCCCAAAACTCGCAGTTTAAGAATTTAAAACTGTATTAAGCACTTGAAATTTCCTGGGACTTAAATGCTTAATTCTGACAATTAATGTATAATTTAAAGTTTAGGACGTAAGTAAGAGCTGCTTGAGTTGTTCCAACTTCAAAGTTTAGAGAAGAACAGTGCAAATCTGGATTCTTCCTGCCTGCTGACCTTACATCCTTTCCAAAGAGCTGTGTTCAAGATGCAGG